TCTAAGAAGAAGTACAACCCGGCTACTTCAATTATCCTCAACCTTGGCGTCCTGATCACACAAATCAACAAAGAGTTACTCCCCAAGTAATAAAAGTCATAGACTTCCCTTTGAAAAATCCTCTATATCCTGCTCTAAACCCGGTTATTTATACTGATGTTTGGGGCCCCGCTCCAATCACTTCCTTTGATAAATTTAGGTTTTATGTTATTTTCGTAGATTATTTCACCAAATACATATGGTTTTCGTATATTATTTCACCAAATACATATGGTTATACCATTTTCACCATAAATATGAAGTTTCAATAGTCTTTACCAACTTTCAAAAATTTGTCGAGAACTTCTTTCGGTCTAAAATTAAAACTATTTACTCCGATGGTGGCGGCGAATATCAAGCCCTCACATCCTGCCTATCTGCTTATGATATATAATACCTTAAGTCATCTCCACACACTCCTCAACTCATCGGCTCTACTGAATGAAAACATTGACATATAGTTGAAACTGGTCTCACACTCTGACACTAAGCCTCTATACCACCAACTTTTTGGACTATAGCCTTTCAAGCTGTCGTCTACCTCATTAATCGTATGCTTACTCTAGTCCTCGAGTACGAGTCACCATTTGAAAAATTATTTCATAAATCCCTAAATATTTAAAAACTCAAAGTGTTTGGATATTTATGTTATTCATGGCACTGTCCCTATGCCTTACATAAGATAATATCAAAATCTAAACCTTGCGTTTTCATTGGATACTCCGTTAACCATAATGTCTTTCGATGCTATGAACCCTAATCTCGAAAAGTATTTATGTCCCGTCATGTTATTTTTATAGAGACTACCTTTCCGTTTCACAACCCTGAGTCTCCTACTGTGCGACCTACTCCATCACATATACATCACTGGAGTACGCCATCAATCCCGTCAACCGAGTCTCCCATAATATCATCCAGTTCTTCTCCTCATGATCCACACTCTCTCATTCTCCCGGTGCAATAGCTCCTCACCCCTTCCATTGAGCCTCTCCCTTCTTTACAAGGTTCCCCCACGACTGAAAACATTCCCTCGGAAACACAATCACTACCTTTATCCTCTCCTGGGACCAATGACACTGAAGTCCCTCAGCCTACCCTAATCTATGTTTAGTGCCTCTCCACCGCCCATACCTACAACACACCTTATAGCCTCTAGACATCCAATGACAACACGCTCCAAAAGTGGCGTCTTTAAACCACGATAAATTCTTGACCTACATTTCATCACAACATCCTCGTTAGAGACCACTGAACCTACCACAATTACTCAAGCCCAAAAATCTTCATACTAGCGAACCCATATGGATTCGTAGCCAGATATAAAGCATGCATAGTGGCCAAAGGATTTCATGAACGTCTTAGTGTTGACTTCACAGAGATATTCAACATTGTTGTTAAACCCATAACAATCCGACTTATTCTGAGTTTGGCCATCTCACAAGGCTGGCATTTACGTCAACTCGACGTTAACAATGCCTTTCTACAGGGTACCTTGACTGACGATGTCTTTATGCAGCAACCTCCTGTCTTCAACCACCCTCGATATCCAAAGCATGTTTGTAAACTACAAAAAGCTATTTATGGACTTCGTCAGGCTCCAAGAGCTTGGTACACTGAACTTGGCTCGTTTTTTGCATCAATTGACTTCATCAACTCCAAGTCCGATACCTCCTTATTTCTCCATCACCAAAGTGGCAATATAATATATCTTCTAGTATATGTGGATGATATTATTGTCACAAGCAACAATCTTATGAAAATCAAGGCATTCCTCAAGCATTTAGTAGATCGATTCTCCCTTAAAGATCTCGGAACCTTGAGCTATTTTTTGGAAGTGGAAGTAACATACACATCTTCCGGGCTCTTCCTATCACCACGAAAGTATATTCAAGATCTATTATCTAAAACTAACATGCAAGATGCAAAGGCAGTTACAACACCTCTGTCTACTTGCGAGTCGCTCAAACTATGTGATGAAAGCCCTACTACAGACCCAACTCAATACCGTCAAGTCCTTGGCTCCTTACAGTATTTATCTCTCACCCATCCAGATATCTCATTTGCGGTCAATAAATTATTTTAATTCATGCATCGCCCATCTACTATGCATTAGTATGCAATCAAATGAATTTTACGATATCTTCACGGACTATCAATCATTACCTCTTTTTCCGCAAACACTCCTCCCTTCATCTCCACACCTTTGCTAATGTTGATTGGGTAGGGAATTTTGATGACAGAACATCTATATCGGGGTATATTCTCTTCCTTTGACCTAATCCAATCAGTTGGAGTTCTAAGAAGCAAAAGACAGTTGCATGTTCTAAAGCTGAATACCGTGCTACAGCCACCGTTGCTGTAGAACTCAATTGGGTCATGAATCTCCTCAAGGAACTTGGCATCAACATTACCTCTACTCCTACGATATATTGTGACAATGTCGGAGCCATTTATATATGCGTCAATTTAGTATTCCACTCACGCATGAAACACATAGCCCGATATCGACTTTCACTTCGTGCAAGAATAAGTTGTCAGACATCAACTACGTGTTTCTCACGTACATACAGCTGATCAACTAGCGGACTCTCTCACGAAGCCTCTCACTCAAAAATCGCTTTCATCACATCGGTCTAAGATCGACGTCCTTGACAGAAGCACCATCTTGCGGGGGCATGATAATAATTAAGATCTCCCATGATAACAATCTCAACAACAGCCGAGATCTCCCCAACTACATGAGGAAATATGGAAAATCCTCCTATGTTGAGAAAAATTCTTCATTATAATATATATAAATATGGAGTATTGTATATTATTTCAATAACTCAATACAATCTTCTTTGTATTTTGTTTCCATCAAGAACACTCTTCCTTACTATCGATGGTGCAAGTATACAAGTCAACTTTTCTTCTTCACTTGTAGTCGACGATGAGGAGAGTCTACAAGCGATAATAAAGACGTGCAACCTTCGTCACTAGCGAGGAAGGCCTAGACGGAGATGACTATTGACGTCCGACGATGATAAAGTATTAGCCACTTATTATCTTTTGTGCACGATTATGCCAGTATCGTGTGCGATTATTTTGAGCGAAAAGAGGTAATTGACTTAATTAAAAAAAATTAGCCTACAAGAACTTCTCAAACTTAATAATTTTTTTCGAAATTCGTCCAATAATATATATGTTATTTATGTGATCCACATAAATTGGGTTCGATAAGTGAGTTTGGTAAAAGTGCTAGTATCCGAAGTCAACAACTGGTCAACGCAGTGGGGTCCGCCTTTCCCACACGAGCGCTGGAGTTCTTTTGGATCAAACGTAAGGATGACGCTATTGCTACGAGAATAATTAGACTGATATCTAATTATTTCATCTGCTATTACTGAACAGACTAATGGGAGTGGGTGAGAAAGCAAACAAGAAGCCTACAGCTGCTCCAATTATGATGAACCCGAGTCGACTGATTCCTAAAGTCGCACAGGCGCCACGTTCGTATCATTAAAACATGGCTCGCGTCTCGATCTGTGATATATAAGTCGTAACCTACTCGGCACTGAGAGCATAAACAAAGCGGTACGTTCAGACTCGGTTCCAACTCGATCATGGCTTCGACGAGCTGTCATGCGGGTGGACAGTGACAGGTGAACATGCAGCATTAGTTGCACGACAGATGTCCCATTTGGGACTAAAAGTTGGCGTCTGTTCATGGTGATAGCTGAAGCAACTTCGATGTTACTTGGATGGCGAGAAGATGAATCGATGGGAATTTTGTCGAGCAGTTGGTGAATATAAAACAAGGAAAAGGATTGTAGAAATTACATGATCGGGTCATTAGTAATTGCAGAGATGTCCAAATTGATTTATGTAATGTTGCATAAATAATAAACCTCATATTTGAATTCAGCATTACTTATGTTATTTGATGTAATAAAAAAAATTTAATTAAAAAAAATACTGCTGCAAACGATTTGATGAAAAATTAAGGACGCTTTTTTTTCTTTTGAGTAATAATAGAGAAGAAAAGAAAGAGGCAAAGGAAAAAAATAATAATAATTAAAATATAATAACAAAACTAATCAAATAAGTATTAAAAGAGCAGCACCTATGTACAAAAGCATCTCGTACGACTAAGATACCTTTGTCATCTTGGAACTACGATTTTTATTTATATTCTGATGGTAAGATCATTTAGTTCCACGTTAATTGAGAAGTACGAGAATCAAAGACTCGTAAAGCCGTTAGGTCTCCATTGCTCTCAAAGGTACATTTTAGAATTCACATATTCTAAAAAATTAAAACCATACAATTACACTCGTTACCCAGTGGACAACTCCTCGTGAGTTTTCCTATAGTTTTAACTACAGTAAGACTTATTCTTATAGTTAGAAATCGTAATAATAAATGCCATTGTGAGGATATAACTATATTAATTACTGTGGTGATTCAAACCATAGTAATAAATATTTTTTTCTCAATAAATGAAATAATTCATATATCAATGCGGATCCACAATTACAGTAATAGATATTTTTATCCTATGAATAAAAATCACAATATTAATTTAATTATTATTATGATTATTCAACTATAATAATAAATACTTTTACCCTACCGAAGAAAACCACAATAATAGTTTAGCTATTACTGTGATTATTCGAGTCCAGTAATAGATGCTTTTATCCAACAAAAAGACAACCACAGTAATAGTTTAATTATTTCTACAATTATTCAACTGTAATAATTTACATCTTATTATTATTATAATAATTATATAAATAGATACATTTATCTAATGAAAAGACAACCATAATATTAAACCATGATATACATACTAACCACAGTGATAGCTCACAATTCATGAAAAGGAAGATAATTTTTTTATTAACTAGATCAAGTTATACAAAAACCATAGTACCAATAATTAAGTGCATCCAATGTCATATACAGATTGGGAATTTTTCTCTTGAAAGTTTTGAATAATATAATATCAAAAAATTATTAAAAAAATATTTATAGTGCTTTTCTCAAAAGATCAAGTGATACAAACAATTACTTTTGTTGCATCCTCACTCACAGACATTTTATCTTTTTTTTTTTTCATCACCAATAATAAAAACATCATCTTTAGTTAACTTCTTTCCTATCTTGACTTTCTAACAAAACATAAAATATAATATTGTTAGTAAATATAAAAACACATCAGATGTCTAAAAAATTTACTTACCTTTTCATTAATCAACCTGGCATAATTTTTCTTTCCTAAAATATGTGGTATTTTTTGTTTTGACTTATTGACTTTATTTTTCTTGCTAAGATTTTAAAAATATATTTTAAATACCATAAAATTAACATAAAAATGATGATACAAAGTCAACATTTACTCCATAGTTTTCTTCTTCTTCTTCTTCTTCTTCTCTTTTACTCAAACAAGCAAGAATTAGGTCATGGCAGCCCTAACCTTCATACATCTGCATGAAAAGGAAAGCAGACTAGGATGGTGGTGAGTCAGCTGCTCAGCATCACCATAAATCATAATAGTAATGCATGTTTATCCTATTTGATAAGACTTGGAACAAGCAAAAAGATAGCAATTTAAACCTTGCAACTCCTCTGTATTTTGAGACTCCTCTTGAGAACCCACTGCTTTTCCTGCACAGTGCACTAAATACTTGCCTTCTTAATCTAAATTCATCTTTCTCGGTGTCTGTCTTACAACACGAGAGAAAGAGAGAGAGAGAGAGATACCATCTTAGGATCCAATATACTTCTTCCTTGACCTGGCTCTCTGTTTCCTTGAACTGTTCTTGGTCCGTTGATATCTATCATCAGAAGAATCACGTGATAAGTTCCATTCTCAAATAGTACGGGAAGTGAGTGAAATCTGAAGGCATACAAGTTTTACTGGAAAGTTAGAGAGTGGTGTCATGGCCCGATAGTTGGGGTTCTTACTGACGGCGGCGGAAACCGGCTTCACAGTCGTCGGCGACAGGGGGAAGGGGGCAGAGAGGACACAGGGAAGGAGTGAACGACGGCGGGAAACCCGGCGGCAGGAGGATGGGAGGCGCGGATAGGAAACAGGGGAAGGTTGCGGTAAGAATCCGTCGACGGCGGCGGCAAATCCACCGACACTAGCGGGAAGAATCCGCCGCTGGCAGCGATTCTGATTGGGAGACCGCCGCCGACGGATTCGCTGCCGTCAGGGTTCTCACCGGGATCCGCCGACGGCATCGAATCTTCCTGTGACGGATCGGGAGCTGATGACCGCCGACGACATATGATTTCGAACGAAGAAAAAAGAAAACCTTAAAAAACCCTAAAACAAAAGGGAAAAGAAAATAAAGATTACAATGACGAAAGAATAACATTGTACCATAGGATGGATGGTCGATGCTTCGTCTCTTGCCATCTTGCCGCGATGAGTCGCCGTGCGGAGAGAGGATGAGTCGCCTCAGAGAGAGAGAGAGAGAGAGAGAGGCAGAAGAGGGAATTGGTGACCAAGGGTCTGACTTGATCGCCGCAGCACCATCAATCGATTGGGTCGTCGGTGCACGATCGGATTCCTTTGGCGAGCACGGAGGGGAAAGGATTGGCCTCGTTTAGAGCCATCAATCGATTATTGACTATGCAAAGTGATATGACACATTTTGGTATCACGATGGACCCTGGACACGATGTTACATACATGAAACTTGAAGTTTGATATGGTGCATAGCACACACATGACAGGCAATCGCCCATTGCCCTCTTCGTACGAATGATATCATCATGGTAAAGTCATTCCGAAAAGCTCAGGGCGATGTCGCACGGCTCCAATCCGTACAAGTCGATCGGTACTCGCACAAAAGCTTAAGTCAATCACAGTTAATTGACCCTATATAATCAACTCATTCTCACAGGTATAAAAGCTAACTCTTCTTAATCAAAAAGAGGCAGAGAGAGGGACACTCGACTCTCTCTGACTCCACAACATTGACCTGAACTTCGGAGGGATCAAGTCGAGAAATCTTTCTCTCGATCTCGATCTTTATGCTGGAACCGACAACGAAGCAGCAACATCCCGCCAAGGGAGAACCGTGCTTAGAAGACAACACTTAGACATAATCTAATTTGATGTCGACGTGACCTGAGCATCTGTGTAGGCAATCTTACGCATACGGGACTGGACCGAGCCGTGCTGCCACCTCGGCCATGGCGTAAAGGTTCACCAATATTTTGGTGCTAGAAGGAGGACCCAGATATCGCAAGATCATCCTCAACCAAGCAATCCAAGCAAATGATCTATGAGACAATTTGAGATTTTCCAATTCGAAATTAGTTTGGATTTCTAATTTTAACTAATCATTAATGGTTTCTTTGCCTATATTTTTTTTTCTCATCTAATCAAGAACAAAATGATAGATGACTAAGCAAAAATGAATTTAGACAAATCATGCAAATTAAGAAAGCTTTGGTTAGCTTGAATTTTCTCTAAGTAAATAATCCAAAAAGATATGCCAAAAGGAGTGCGTGATTTATCAAAAAAATAACTTTAAGTTTTCAAAATTATCAAAAAGAGTTTAGGTTCTAATTATTACTAAATATTACTATTATCCTTGCATTTTTCTAGTCCAATCAAGAAAAAAGATGAAACAAAAAATTATGACTGAAATAAACATCATTTGAAAAATCGGACAATTAAGAAAACACACACACAAATAAATAAATAAATATATATATATATATAGAGAGAGAGAGAGAGAGAGAGAGAGAGAGAGAGTATCCGAGGGATGCTTTGAACAGGAAACAGCTGTTATAGCCAGTGGATTTCCGCTACGGTTGGTGATTACGATGTGTTGGGTGCTTGAACGGTGATCGTTTCGGGGGGCGCCTCCGACAGGGGGTGACAGGTGGGATTCGGATGTAGGCGGTCGGGTGGGGATCTGAAGGGCGGATGTCAGCCGTCGGATCCGTCTTGATGACGTTCGTGCTCGTATTAAAGCACCGAGCGAGGGACAGAGAGAGATTGAGGGGCCGTTTCGAGAAACATACGACCGCTGCTTCGAAGGAGAGAAAGCTGCGCTCTTTTCGCCTCTTTGGAGCGCTCCTCACTGACGCTGCTCCATTGGTGGGTTCGGATTGATTAAAGAAAGGGGCTTCCTGAAACCGAAACGGGAATCTTCGTTTCTTGCGGTGGGCTCTGGATGCATTGGTACTGGGACTGCCTTCTCTCTCTCTCTCTCTCTCTCTCTCTTGCGCTTCAATCCTCCATCAGAAGATGGAAAGGTGGAGCCTTGACGAATGTGTCTCGAGACATGTGTTCTATTTAATCGGTGTGAAGGGCTTTCCTTCTTCCTTCCTTTCTTCCGTTCTTCTTCTTTGGCATTCTTTGTCTTTTGTGGATGGAGTTGGTGATCGATTTCTTTCTTTCCGCTGTGACTTGTTGCGCAGGACTTCTTTTTCAATTTGGGGTTTGTTGGAGATGGGATTAAGATCGAACTCGGTTGGAGTTTGGTGGCTTTATTTGTTTGGTCTATGTCCATTCGAAATTTCCCTTCTTTTGCCCCCTCCACATTCTGTGTTTGAGTTGGGAACCCGATTCCGATGAGCTCATAGGACGACAGGACAAAGCTCTCTTTCCCATTTCTTTCTTCTTTTTATTTCCCCTTTATCTTTGTTGTTTCTTTTATATGGTTTTGTCTTCATCTCCTTTTGTTCCAACTCATTCTTGTTCATCTTTTGCTGCTTTTCGCTGATGCTTGTAGTTTACTCGTTTCTGGTCTCAGTCCCTTCGCCAAATGCCAACGCTGAGAGATTAAGCTGCGCCTAAGCCGATAAAGAGATTGTTGAAAACCCGCAAGGGGAAACAAAAACCTCTCATTTGCCTCAAATTAGGAAAAAAGAGGGCCGTCTTTCACGCGATATTCTCTCTCTTATTACCGCCCCTCTCTCTCTCTCTCTCTCTCTCTCTCAGAGTAGATATGGTGTAAATCTCAAAGAAGCATGCTTAAAAATCCCTTCTTTTTTCCCGTTCATCTGATTCATTTGGGCCTGGGTGTCGTTCTCCCACAGTGGCGAGATGAGGTAGGCCGTCTGATCGATGAGGCCATGCCGGGATCAGGCGAGGACAGAGAGGGCTCGCGAGATTTGATGCGTCGAAGAAGCACAATGAGTCGCTCCTCGCCTATCGGTGCTTAGCAATCACTTTCCCCTAATTGCCCCGCATCCCCCTTCTAATTTACTTTCTGAGGGACCAAGAAATCATTCTGCGGTTATATCTTTTCCCAGTTGACTAATCTGTCTACCAGCTTGTTTGTTCTTTTGTCCCTTGCATGCTCCGCTTCCTCCTCCTTCGTACTCTCGCTGTATTTTCTTGCTCGATGTTTTAAAGATTTGGTTTTGTTTGTTCTTTCGCAGTTTCAAATGATAATGGTGACTGTAGTAGTGGAGATGGAGTAGATGGGAATTCGGCCATGGTTAGGTGGAGGAAGCAGAATGTCCGGGCTCCAAGGTGTAGGCTGAACAATAATGAGTCGTCTGACGAAGCAGGAAGAGGCAGGTCAGAGGGAGAGGAGGGCGATTCTTCTAGGCCAAATCTTAGTGCCAATGCCACCACAAGTCTAAATAGTAGGAAGAGAGTTAGGCTCCATGGAAAGGTTTCATCATTTTGCCCATTCTCATTTAGCCGATTGCTTCTATTGATATGTTTATATGTGGCTAATCTTTAAGCTTTAAAAGGTCGCTGAGGATAGCAATGCTGTTGATACCGCACCCGTGCCGAGGAAATTGAGATCAGGTTTGAGGAACTGCTTTGCATTGCTTTTTCTAATAACCATCTTTACCAAATCTTTGATTTTTTATGTTTTCTCTCAAAAATAAATTACTGGAATCTTGACTTTTTCTGTTTATTCAATTTTTGGTTCTTTGTGAGGTTGCATGCAGTATCTCTCTGGTCATTGCCAAAAATAATTATAGGGAATACATAGTTCCTTTAAGGAGATCGCCGATACAAAATGTTTGTTTCGATGCCTTTTAGTTTCCAAGAACCATAATGTATTTTGATCGAGTTGTGTGGTCTCCACCTTTTGAAATTACTGCAATTTTTAGTATATTATTGTCTTGTTTAATCTATTTTAACTGTTGATGATCTGTTGATCTTTTCCTATTCAGCAATCAATAAACGCAGCAGCCAGTCATCGTCTCGTGCGATGCGAGTCGAGGTGCTATATGGGAATGGTGGTAGAAGATGCAAGCCGACCATGGTTTGTTCCCTTTTTTTTCTAAGTTTGGTTTATGACTACAGGTCTGAGATAAATTATTCTTGTTTTCTGTTTGAGTAGCTGCTTGACTCATTAACCAAGGATGAAGAGGAAGTTGTGGAGGCTTTGTGTGCATTATCCAGAATGCTACCTGTTGGCACCCGAGTTCCAGACAAAGAAAATAGGAGACTGTCAGATCACCAGGATAATAATGCTACTGCAGATCCTCATTCAGAAGGTGAATTTTCACAACTTTTGTCTTCGGGTGATATATGTTCTCTTTGGTTAATTTTTGTTGCTTGGAATTAAAAAAAAAATGATTTAACAGCTCCAAAAAAAGAGGGTGAAGGACAACATTTGCAACAATGCATCGCCAGTGGAATTAGGGTTCCCTCTTCTTGTATGGCAAAACCATTAGATGAAACAATGGAGGAAGAAAATGTCTTTTCCAAACAACCTCTCACCGTTTGCGCAAGGCAGACTATCGATTCAGACATGAGTAGAATTAAGGAACATGGCACTCATATAACTCCATTGTCCGAAAATGAACCCCCAGAGAGTAGTGTCAGATATTTTGAAAAAATTTCAAGCCCATCAGATGTTCTGCCTCACACAACTGGAAATAGGTGGTGGTTCTGCGTGTGTAATGTTGCTTGTGGTTTTACAATATTTTTTACTGTCAATTGATGTCGTTCTTATCAAGTTCGCCCTATCTTTCTGTTCTGTGGTAGAGCACTGCATCCGACTCAATGTGATGCCTTTACAGCCATTCCGCCATGCAAATTAGATATGCTACAACCAGTAATACTTATCCCTGACTCGAGATGAAAGTTCATTTGTTTTTGCCTCCCGTGATGAGAATTAATTCATCTCAAATACTTTTAGAACGGACATGTTGAATCACCTGCACTGGGGGGGAATAAAGTTCAGCAAGTGGAGTGTAACAGTGAAAATAGTGCAAAACGTGTGTGCCAGGAAGGTAGGAACTTTATATCATAAAGAAAATCTACATGAAAAATACTTTCTAATGTTTTTTTTTATGTTACATGTATTTTGGTTTCTGATTCAACTGATTATTGCATTACTTGTATTTGTCAGGAATTGTTCCACTGCATATCCATCCTTCTTCAAGCAATACTGCAGTTTGGCCAAGCTCTGCCACTGGTGCTGCTAGACTAGTTTCAAGCAGAATTGATCTTCCAACTAAAAAGGTCTTACATGTGTAACACAGAACAGTTGGTCTTTTGTAGTTCAACTCTAGTTTTTGGATGGACTCACAATCATGGACTACACTGTTCATATGCTGTGTTTACTAGAATGCTAAAATTGTCATTTTCGTAGTGCCAAAACATTAAATCGTTGTTAGGATGCAATTAAGACTTTTTTAGCTTTAATTGGAAAGGCATAATGAAATCGGTTTACAACTAATTGGGGTATAGCTGCATCAATTGATTTCTGTTGCCTATTCGAGGGGATGGTGTTCTCATACAGAATTTGCATCATGGTTTTTTGCATGCAGGTTCTGCCTGATGTAGTATCGTCTTGGAAAAAATGTGCTATTCATGTGTTCATAGGCCATCTTATCAAGAACTATCAAGAAAAGGAGGAGTGCAAGCCTTTACTGCTGTCTGAGGTATCGAGGCCCATGGATGGGTCAAAATTGTGTGCAACAGAAAATGATGAGAAAGTTGGGTTACAAAATTCTGTTGCCGAGAGGAATAAACACGAAGGAAGAGTTGAAGTTTTATGTGACAGAAGATATATGTCAGCTCATCAATCTTCAGTCTCATCTGATGCCAAGCAAAAGAAGGTAGTGATTGCGCTCTCTTTTTACGTATCTTGCTGTTCCTAACCGCTGCATCTTCTTCAGGCCTGTGATTTCGCTTCATTATCGGGAAATGGCAATGCTAGTAGTTTTGCAAACGGAGCAAAGTCTGCGGGGCAGCTTCGTTCTCCTTTTCTACATGCGCAAGTTCCACATCATCCTCTTGTGCCATTTCCTTTCCCTCATGTGCCATATGCTTCACCTTACTCAGAGAAGCTAGCAGCTGCGACCACTCAACCGGTACTCCAATTCTACGAACATAACCAATTACTGGAAAGCATCATAAACTCATGTTCATTAAACATTTAACTTAGTTTGTCCACCATGGCTTGTTGCGGATCGTGTTTTAGGAAGGTTTCATGTCGAATCTGGGCATGTCGCATTTGCATCTCTTTCTATTGTTTCAAGTTACTTAGAACTTGTTGTTTGGTTATAGGTGCAGCTTCAAGTACCTAATTATGTAGGCCACCCATTCTTCGGACCGCAAATGGACGACACCATAGGCAACATGAGGCTGCAACAACAGTACCAGCAGCAACAGATATGGCAGGCTCATTTCGCCCAATACAGATCCCCCCTTGTGGGCATTGCAGCGCTGCAGAACGATCGGCTACATGACTCATCTGCTTCCACCCATCGAATTGTTCAGGCTTCATCAACTCTCCCATCTTCCCCACCTGTACAAATGCAATGTGGATCATCATCACAACACCAACTTCTTGCTAACGCCTCCTCATCGTCGTCCTCCAAAGCAAAGCCTCACCAACAACCGGGAAGCCTGCGGGGCGGTAGATTCCACCATGAAGGCCCCCATTCGGTCGCAGCTGCATCACAACACCGGTCGATCATGAAGAATGATACAATAGGATGAGGATGGATATTCATCATCAGACTTGCCACCATTGCAAGCCATCATCAGTGACGAGCAGGATAACAGATGCTGATACTGATACCATCAAGTTGATGCGCTTCTGGCTCACCAGAATCCTCTGAAGCATCCTAAAGTAGGAAGTCGACATGAACATATTCACTATGGTGTCATGAACATCGATCTCTCGTTGGCTTCCAATTGGGGACAGCAAAATGTTGGAGAGAAAGAGAAAAGGAAGCCTATATTTCCATTGTTTAGCAGTGCATTCTGATGAGAGCCGGCGTCTGAGATGTAATGTATTTTTGGGTCACTGAGATCATTGGCTTATTAGTCGTCAACCAAGATATGAACGTGTACTTCACCAACTGTACATTGTTATAGCTTCTAACAACATATGAAGTTTTTGATATTGTCTGCCATCATAAACACAATTAATATTATTTTCTTTTCCAAAAAATTAATTATCCGTCGGTAAATGTCGGCCGTCGATTTCGGATTCGACTTGAGCGTGATTTGATCGAGCGAGTCGACCACCACGCGTGCCGTTCGCACGCGTGCACGAAAGTACGGACGATTCGAACTGTTGCGGTTCCATATAGAGGTCGTGATGGGTAGCATGGAATCAATTCCCTCGATCGGCGCTCCCTCCGTGCGCCACGGCGTTTCCTTCGTAATGGGCTTCTCCTCCGCATCTCCGAGGAACGGCGATTGGTGAGGCTTTCTCCTCGCATCTCCGAGGTACGCGTGATCTTCCTCGTCACTTCCGTTACGCTTTGTTCGCATTTCCGAGGCGTGCGCTTTTCTCCTCGTCTTTATGTTCATCAATTGATCTTGGAAGTTAGGTTTTCGCGCTTTTGATGACAAGGGTTATCGATTGATCTTCTTTATGTTCATCGATTACTCCTATTAAACAGTTGCCATGCTCTTCTCACACCGTTTCTTTTTCTCTTTGCACCACTACAAAGAGAAACAGGCATTTCTTTAGGGTTCATCGACGATTAAGCGTTCCCTTTTATAAATCAAAAATAGAAGGCAAAATCTATTGTAAAGTTCATACTGGTAACCGTGAGAGTTTCTTTACAAAGAAATAGACATTTCTTTAGGGTTTCTTTAGGTGATCCTCAACGAATAGCAAGAGATCATCCGATCAATCGTGAAATCAATGGAACAAAAAAAAGAAGAAGAGATTCCATCTAGAAGTCCAATCCGATCTTATATTTTATTCTTAAATAATCATTTTTAAACTAAATTTGTGCGAGTCAAAAAAAGAAGGAACTCACAAAAAAAGGATTTTTTTTATTATTTATAGAGTGGGGAGGGGGTTTGTTGCATCAGAGTCATGGAAGATGCAAAAGCAACATCGCATGCTTGCATGCATGCTTCTGTTGCAAACTGTGAGTCGTCACTGCAAAACCCCTCCAAATTCATTTCAACACAAGAAAAGCGACACTAGAAACCAAAAAAGATAAGCTTACTGATCGAGACAAGATAGAAGGTCGTAGAAGATGGAGCGAGTGGCTGCGGCCTTAAAACTGGTCAAGATTGGCGACCTTATATAGACAGAGTAACGATTAGGGTTTGCGCTGGGGATGTGGGTTTGGATCGTCGCCTCCTGAGCTCACGTAGCACGGGCTGGGAGTTCACACTCGGGCTGAAAGGCTGTTGGATGGGTGTCCTCCGTCAAAGGCTTCGACTTCACACTCGGGCTGAAAGGCCCAATCTGCACAAGTTTAATGTTTCATCTGAGGTGTTGGTCCTGTGATAAGTTAGTTACTGGATGAAGCAGCGGACCCAGAACGGGTCCCACAAGGTAACTACAAAGCTGGTAGGATTTTCGAGTATCATTTACGCGTTGTGGTTACGTGCCACGCACACTGTTTTACACGTGATTATCACGTGTCCATCAGGTTTCGCGGTGGCGAGCGGGGACGCCTCCACCTCCCTCGTGGTCATGTGCCGCTCGCCCCATTAATCACGTGGCTAACAGCATATGGCTTTACCTCCCACCACGCCCTCAAACCCAAACCCTGATATTTTGACCCCACATGTGGTTAAGCTAACCCCCCGCTGCTCTACTCACGTAGCCGTATCGAAACTGTGATTCCTCCACGCGTCCTTCATCGACGGCCTAGATTTGTTTATAGACCAAATATCTCTCGTCGTCAGTTCCTTTATATGACCCAACGACTCCGGTCACAGAAGGGCGCAAACAATCGAACAGGAAGGGGGCGTGACCTGAAACCCTAACCGATCGATCGGAGATGGCGGCCAACCCTTGCGTTTTCTTCGACATGGCCGTCGGCGGCGCGCCGGTGGGGCGGATCGTGATGGAGCTGTATGCGGACGTGACGCCGAAGACGGCAGAGAACTTCCGGGCGCTGTGCACGGGCGAGAAGGGAGTGGGGCGCTCCGGGAAGCCCCTCCACTACAAGGGCTCCACCTTCCACCGTGTGATCCCGGGGTTCATGTGCCAGGGCGGCGACTTCACCTGCGGCAACGGCACCGGCGGGGAGTCGATCTACGGCGAGAAGTTCGCGGACGAGAACTTCGTAAAGAAGCACACGGGTCCGGGGGTGCTGTCTATGGCGAACGCCGGGAAGAATACCAACGGATCGCAGTTCTTCGTCTGCACCGCCCAGACCTCGTGGCTGGACGGCAAGCACGTGGTGTTCGGCCGCGTGGTGGAGGGGATGGACGTGGTGAAGAGCATCGAGGCGGTGGGCTCCCACAGCGGCTCCACCAAGAAGCCGGTCGTCGTCGCCGACTGCGGGCAGCTGTCTTAGATCGCAAGCACACGTCGATCTACCTGCTCTACACTGTTTCGTGGTGGTCGTTGAAATAATCGATGGATCATGTGTTGTCGTCGCGTGTTATCGTCGCCAAGTTAGGTTTCGTATCGTTACTATCATATCTTCATCGTCGTCGTCGTCATCGGTGTCTGTGTCGAGTTCAAAACCTATATACATGTCATCACCGATCAATAAAATAGGAAGCTAATACGGATGCCGAGTTCATCGCCGGTGGGATTTTTAACTCTTCTTGATTTCTTCTACTCGTTCGTCGAGCGAGGATCATTTGATCAGGGTATCTCCTTTTACGAAGGAAAGCGTGGAGTGGATGTGGTCGATGATGGCCCAGCGGGAATAGTGGCGGGTGGGAAGGCTGCATGTAGCCGCCGGTACTGCTGCCGGTGGATTGGGTTTGATACGATAACCCACCACCCCTTTGTGCTGTGCGGCAGAGTTCTCGCACCTGATTCCATGTGGAACTCGAGTGCTCCGGAAAGATACGAGCGTCACCCACCGACATTGTTCTTCAATTGCGACCCATAGACTAGTGGTGCGTGAAGGATGTGCGGATAAAATAAGAAAAGGAATACCATTACCAAGATACTATTAGAAACTCGTACGCAGCGAATGCATTTCTCCCACCCTCGGGAAGAGAATGGATAATAATAATAATTCTCCTCTATCATTTTAAACATTTCTGAGGACCGCAATTAATTTTCGCTTTTGAAAGGACGAATATATTGCCTCAATCGCATATCCACACGGGCGGTGGATAACCCTATCTCAATCCCCAAGGAAGAATAATTCACTGTGCCCCGACGCAAATGTAAGTTGTCATAATAGTCCACTATGCCCGCCCATCACGTCATGCGGCTCAATCATCAGTAAAAGAAAGGATAAAAAGTTCAAAAAAAACTCTTTCGGTCGAACTACGATCTCCGTAAAGCATATTTCTTGTGACAGGTCGTCCTTATCGGGAACCATATTTTATACCAGGCAGAAATGACACTCGCTATCAAGCATCAATTCTTTCGATCGGATGCCATCCTGTGATCATATGTATAAAAGATATCCTCGATTGTCATAAAATATATATAGCATTTCTCCGATCACACGTTATAAAATTTAGTCCCCTATATGATAACAACGAATACACCCATTAGTGTATGGCAAGAGGTCCCTCGTTCAAAGAAAAAAAAAATCTTTCATGGTCAACGATCACAATGAGTCAAGTCATGTGAACAAGTTTGGTTTCACTCGACTCTACTCGACGTGAAATGAAGGACGCACGTCCCGTAATTTAAAAGAGTGACCATCAACGTTGTAGAAAGGCTAAGGAACAGCACTCGTTAAAATTAGGTTCTATCAATTTGTTATGTCATATACTAGGAGCTTGTGTATTGTGTGTATCCCTTTTTTAATAGCTCAAGTTATTGTCAATAATGATGACCGTCCCAAAGTATAATCCACTGCGGCTTCAGTGTAGGGCATCATGTTTGTTTCTGACTTTTTCAGATCTCTTAAGAGTATGCCCAATTAATGAATTACTTGTCAATGCTTCTTTTTTTGAACCCTCGGATCATTATTTTACCACCCAAATGTCAACGCTTCTTTTTTCAACCTCCTATCACTATTTTTCCATCCAAATGTCAACTCTTATGTCACCACCGGTGCCATGCTGGCTGTTGGACTTCTAATCAAGATCGCACCCCCCACAATCTACTAAATCATGGCCCTATTCCTTGGAACATTCAATTGGACGGTTCAGATTTACTGATTCGATACATGATCCAGTTCAATTACTGTGAGCCATGATCAACAAAGAGAACTGTGGGTATGGCGAGCGAATCCACTTGCCCGGTACAGGTGTCGGCTGGTGAGTGGAAAACCGGGTTTCCACTACGATTCAGTGGACGAAACGCAACGACCGCGCCTCCACCGACGAATTGGGATCTCGCTGCCATCAGACAGCTCACGCACACGGATTAAGAAGACTTTGGGGCCGCCTCTGATCGAAGCCTGTCCGTTGGATGCCATCGAGTTTCCCTTGCCCGACTCGTCTTCCTCCTCATCCGCGTCTATATAAAATAGCGACCGACGTGGTTCCCGTACCCAACTCGGAAATCTATCTCGTCCATGATATCGTCGCTGTGCCTCGCTTCCCCCAAATCCTTCCTCCGCCCCCCGCGCTGCGTCGCCGCCTCCGCCGCCGCAGCCCCTCCTGCCGTCTGCTCGTCCGTGACGCTGTACGACGTGCTCGGCATCGCCGCCGGCGCATCCGGCCGCGAGATCAAGGCGGCGTACCGGAGGCTTGCCCTTGCGTGCCACCCGGACGTGGCCGCGGTCGAGCGGAGGGGCGCGTCCGCGGTCGAGTTCATGCGGGTCCACGCGGCTTACGAGACTCTCTCTGATCCGGAGAAGCGCGCCGACTACGACCGCAGCGTCATGACAGCGGTGGACGCCGGCCGGCGGTGGGCGCCCTTCCGCTCGCAGTGGACGTCGTCGTACTCCACCGGTCGCCGCCGCCCTCGCACGTGGGAGACGGACCAGTGCTGGTAGCACTCAGAGCGACCCACCACATCAGTGTACAGATTTTGAGGGATGTTTTACATCAATTTCCCTTGGTTAGATTTGTATAAGAAAATCGAAGTCATATATAGGCGTCCCCATTTTTCATCTGCGACAAAAGACTTAGATGTGTAAATTGTGTCTGTGCTCAGTTTAACATGGAAATTGTTGTTTGGATCGGAAATATGGTGGTTCTGCTTCAAATCTATCTTTTATGATTCTGTTCATGTTAGGAGACCATCATGGATTTAGAGGTTCACCCATAATTGCAGGGACAGACCAACCACTGTAATTGCTGCACCTACTACTCCTGGATTCTATTTCTGCGTTGGTTCGAGTGAAGTCGCTTGAATTCACGTCGTTGGTTTGTCGACCAAAGTTTTCTTCAAGAAAGAGGTGCTCGAGTTTTTGTGATCCATCGAGGATGCGATGGGTGGCTCGTTGGTCGACCGGCAAATCCATGGCCGGTCACCGTCCTCGTGCGTTGGGGAATAGTAGTAGTCGTCGTGGTAAAGTAATCGGGTAGTTGCACCTTTTCAACTCCTCTGTCTTATTCTTGTTATTTGGGCCGAGACATATGTGGGCATTGGATCTAAATTGAGTTATTTGGGTCCATCAATCCTTATGGTAAAGGGAGAGGTTTTGACTTGGTTCGGACACGGCCCAGTAGTTAAAGTTGATCCTGTCGATTCCCAATCTCCCATCAAAACAAAAAATATATAATTAATTAATCGTCCAATTAAAAATTGATTACATGATATGTACGTCGTTAAATGACTTTCATCTTGTAGGGCCAATCGCTGAGATCTTTTATCTGCTCGACACCGATGTCCGAGAGATTGGACCCATGTTGGATTCAAATCTCCAACGTGTGGACAACTAAAATCTAACTTATCGACGTTAATCTCTTAATTCTTGCGAGCCACCCGCTGAGCCGTGACGTTCGGTGCAGTCCGTAACTTCACGCATCCGAAGAAAAGGCTTTAGCGTGACTTAGGCGATGTATTTTGGGTGGATGGAGTGTGAACCATAGCCTACTTGTCTTGCAAACTTTCCCTCGGTGGACGTCCACGTTGGCAGTCGCAATAGTCTCTTCATCTGATTCGGCTGTAGCGTTCGTCGTTTGTGTGGTGGATGGGTCGGAACGCCATCAACTCCCTCACCCACCTTTTCTCGAAGAGACATCTCATCATCTGTTTAGAGTGCTCGACATAATGACAGTCGCGTCGGCTCTTCCCTCAGCCACCCACCGCACGACGTGACTGCCTCTCCATCCTCGCGTCGTCCGGTGAGTTCGACGGTACGAAGGCCGCTGTTACAGCCAGCGACAGGCCACGCACCACTCCGGCGAACGGGCATGTCAGAGGCTCAAGCCCACTCCTCCCATTGGCCTCGTCTTCCGTGGACCCCGCCCAGCGTGAGGCCGAGGCCCACCTGTCTTGCCCGGGTGTGGGGTCCACGAGGATTCGTCTCACGTTATATTTAGATTCGGCGACAGCGGTGTCTGTGATTTCATGTGCGGCCTCGGGGCGGACAGGAAACAGGCTTCTTCTCTCGGACGAGCAGTGTGGACCCCTCGACTGAGAGGCGGAGAGAAGCAAGGAGGAGGAGGGAGGGGGCTGTGATGTGGAACGAAAACCGCGTCAGAGCAACCTAAAGAAGGTTAAAAAGGAAGGAATGGGCGTTGGTCTCCGTCCCGTCCACTCGACCAAAAATGCCCTCCTCCCCTTCTCGCACTCTCCTTCCGTCTCCCCCCTTATTCCTGGGCAGAGAACATAAAATATGTGAAAGAAACGACTTACAAGACAGAGGCGAATAAAAAGAAAGAAAGCCACCCGTGAATCTCTGTTAGCATCTATATGATCCATCGACGACGACAGCGACGATTCGGAAGGTGGAGGTCTGGAGGGGGAGGAGGAGGAGGAGGAGGAGGAGAGGGTAAAGAAGAGGAAGGAGAGACAAGATGATGGGAGATGGCGGGGTAAAGCAGATCCTGGCCAAGCCGATTCAGCTGGCGGACCAGGTGAGTAAATGGGCGGACGACGCCCACTCGTTCAAGCAGGACTGCGCGGAGCTGAAGGCCAAAACGGAGCGCCTGGCGGGGCTGCTGCGGCAGGCCGCTCGCGCGGATCTCTACGAACGCCCCACCCGCCGCATCATGGACGACACGGAGCAGGTCCTGGACAAGGCCCTCGCCCTCGTCGAGAAGTGCCGCGCCCATGGCCTTGTCCGCCGCCTCTTCACCATCATCCCCGCCACCGCGTTCAAGAAGATGTCCACCCAGCTCGACAACTCCATCGGCGACGTCTCCTGGCTCATCCGCGTCTCCTCCTCCTCTGGCTCCGACGACGGCGACTTCGACACCCACCTCGGCCTCCCCCCCATCGCCCAGAACGAGCCCATCCTCTTCCTCATCTGGGAGCAGATCGCCACCATGCACACCGGCTCCCTCGACACCCGCGCCGACGCCGCCGCCAGCCTCGTCTCCCTCGCCCGCGACAATGATCGCTACGGCAAGCTCATCATCGAGGAGGACGGCGTTGGCCCCCTCCTCCGCCTCGTCAAGGAGGGCCGCCCCGAGGGCCAGGAGAGCGCCGCCCACGCCATCGGCCTCCTCGCCCGCGACCCCGAGAGCGTCGAGCAGATGGTCCTCGCCGGCGTCTGCTCCGTCTTCTCCAAGGTCCTCAAGGACGGCCCCATGAAGGTCCAGGCCATGGTCGCCTGGGCCGTCGCCGAGCTCGCCGCCAGCCACCCCAAGTGCCAGGACGTCTTCGCCCAGAACCACGTCGTCCGCCTCCTCGTCAGCCACCTCGCCTTCGAGACCGTCCAGGAGCACAGCAAGTACACCGTCCCCTCCAAGGGCATCTCCATCCACTCCGTCGTCTTGGCCAACAACAGCACCAACACGACCGCCAACGCCGCGGCGGCGATGGCCCTCGACAACGGCGCCGAGCAGGCCCTGGTCAAGCATCCGAACACGATCACAGACCAGAACGCCAGCAAGAACCAGATGCACTCCGTGATCGAGTCCACTATGGCCGCCAAATCCAGTAAAACCCCGGCCAACACCAAAAGCCACACGAACCCCCACGTCGCCGGCAGCAACGGCAAGCAGCAAAAGGTGCCCCTCTCCGGAGCCAGCATCAAGGGGCGGGAGTTCGAGGACCCGGCCACCAAAGCCTACATGAAAGCCATGGCCGCGAAGGCCCTGTGGCAGCTCGCCAAGGGCAATCCCTCCGTCTGCAATAGCATCACCGAGTCCCGGGCCCTCCTCTGCTTCGCGGTGCTCCTCGAGAAAGGGGCGGAAGAGGTCCAGTACTATTCCGCCATGGCCCTGATGGACATCGCGCGCGTGGCGGAGCAGCATTCGGATCTCAGGCGGTCCGCGTTCAAGCCGAGTTCGCCGGCGGCGCGGGCGGTGGTCGACCAGCTTCTGAGGATCGTAGAGAAGGCCGACTACGACGACCTCCTCGTCCCCTGCATCGTCGCATTAGGCAGCTTGTCGAGGACCTTCCGGGCGACGGAGACCCGGATCATAGCGCCGCTGGTTCGGTTGCTCGACGAGAGGGAAGCCATCGTGTCCAAAGAGGCCGCGATCGCCCTGACCAAGTTCGCCTGCACCGACAACTACCTCCACCTCGATCACTCCAAGGCCATCATCAATGCGGGAGGGGCGAAAGACCTGGTTCAGCTGGTGTATTTTGGCGAACAGGCAGTGCAGGTCGCGGCATTGATCCTGCTGTGCTACATCGCGCTGCATGTGCCCGACAGCGAGGCGCTGGCCCAGGCCGAGGTCCTCACCGTGCTCGAGTGGTCTTCCAAGCAGGGGTACATGGTTCAGGACCCGACCGTGGACACCTTGTTGCCGGAGGCAAAGGTGAGGCTGGAGCTGTACCAGTCGAGGAGTCGCAGAGGGTACCACTGAGAGTCCTCCACCACCACCCCCCTCCCCACCCCAAAAAGCACACCCCTTTCCGAGTCTCCGATTGCCAGGAATGTACATACATACATACATACATACATACTTCTTCCGTATGCATCCTTAAAAAGGTTACGTTGCACGCCCAAAACACCATTTTGTTCGTCTGATTTGTGGAACGCGCGTGCTTGCTGAATTCATGATGGCTTAAGTCTGGGAAATTTTGGTAGAGTGGGAGCAGATCATTCGTATTAGGTATTCTCAAGTTTATTGATTCGTTTTTAGTCTCTTTTGGTTCATTTGCTTTGTTTTCGTGTGAAGAACACCGAAATGGCCACTTTTCGGAATTCCTCCCATGACTCTGAATTCTCCGTATCCTTTCTCACCGGATATCTGATCTGCGCCAGGAGATATCTGCAAGTTTCTATTTGCTATTCTCGTTCTTGTGGCCCGGCATGATTTATGGTGGCCATTGCCAACCATTCATAGTTTCTAAGAATGGCAGCAGGTTGGATTGAGCCATCTATTTTATAGAGTTTGATGCGATTCCATTATATATAAAAAAAACTAATATTATTTTTTTATCGGATGACTCCTCTCATATTTATTTTCATTAAATAGATGGCTCAATGTCATCCCGGGGATGAGATACTTGAATCGTTGAATACACATTAATATTGCATCGATGTTTTTGCCGAGGTCGATATGCCTATGTGTGCAAAGGGTGGCTATTGCCCCCCCTTATGTGAAAGTATCATGCGTCAAAGAGGGCGAAGCTTCCTTGGTCGAGCGTTCATTGAGAGGGTCGGTGGGCAAGTATTCCTGTGACAACGAGCCTCTCCTTCTAGCACAAAAAATGTTCTATGATGAAGTTATAGAGGTCTTGATCAACCCGACGTGGTTTGGCCTCGTATGCGCACAGTTATCCGATGTGCCTTCGAGGTGAAAAACATTGAATTCCCTAGGTGCCACTTACACAAAGATCGAGGCCCTAAGGGGTTTCTTGATTTAGTCCCTTTAATGCTTAAGCTAGCAACACGATGTATATAAGTATAGACACAAGTGATCAAAAAGGTAATCCCTCTTTTCATAGATGAAATTTTGTACGTAATTATAAAGAGATAAAATATTTTATGGAATATTCTACGGAGAGGTAGTCTCTAACTATCTCTAACAATCTTTCATTGATCTCCTATCCACACGGGCGACGAAAAAAATGCACAACCCATAATCTTGGACCCTTGTTTATATGAACAAATGAGTAGATGATGATATTTATCTTATCTTTCCACTTTGACGATCACGTATTGAATGTCGATTAACTAACTACGTGTTTCCTATCAAATACAAAAAGATTTTACCTCAATTTTTTTTTAAAGTCACATTTGTGATCGAGCTTCTTTTAAAAGTCACATTTGGCTTTTCAAATTTTAGATCTAACAAGATTATGATATAATAAGTCTGGTCAACTATGGCACGTAGAATTTACCATTGCCATCGTAAAATTGTAATGGCTACTAAGTAAACAAGAACATTAATAAGTCTCGAGCCCACACCGTACAATTAATTGACTACGATTTATCCTTTAAAGGGAATCAAAATCGTTAAAGTCTTTTGGGAAGGCACGGAATAATAAATGCCACACAGTTCACTGCCACAGACCACCCAATCAAATTGGGTGTGCTTCTAAGAAATAATAAATGCTGTAACGTAGAATAAATGATTGAATTCATAAATATCGTAGATTAAAAATATATTGATACATACTTTTTACATATGATAATTAATAAATCACCTCTATCATTGTAATATTGTACAAATCACATAGAACTCTTAAGGATCCATGGAGAAATAACTTATTAAGATAATCTCTTAAATTCTATTGATTGATAACCTTAATTAAAATTATAATATATCTTAATCAAAATTACTTAGGATCGCATAATCTAACATCATTTTATCCATCGACGATCATATTGAAATAAATTAAAATGTATGAATTATGCCTGTATTTTCATATCTTCCATAGTAGTACTCGAGTCAGATGGAATTTGTGGGACAAATTAACCTTGTGATATATTTGAAACTCATGCATATCTTCACACTTCTGATGTTAAATACTGAATAAAAAGAAAAACACAATGCTGACATGTTTTTTGTTTGTTTTTTGTCAATTGATCTGTTTTTTGTTTTTAAGAATATAGAAATACTATTGACAACACAATCGGTTGATAAAAAATAAATGAGTGTATTGTTATTAATTTTTAAGATAAAATATTTTTTAATAATAAAATTAATGAGTCAAAATTAATGATTTAAATGGATTTAATTGGATTAGAAGCATCTATTTTTCACTAAGATATCACTAACATAGTGTTAGGAGATGACTTGAATCCACTGGCTAGCATAAGAAATCTTTCAAGTCAGTCAAAAAATCTTGGGTATTCGATGTTTCATCGATGACGACGACTACGACATATGCAAAAAATCATGATCGAGATAAATTTTCGAGGGGATCCTTATGACGCTCAAATTAGTTACAGAATGAGATAAATGTTTCGAGTTAACAAAGACTAATCTCGGTTACTATGATTCGATAGGCTGTTTATGATTGATCCAATTTATATTTTAAAAGTGGTTCAATTGTTGATTGAATGAATATTTTTCCTACCATATTAGATTTAATGAAACTTTATAATTATCAGCCTACAAGACCTAAAAACTCATTGACATGAGATTACATGTGGCAAAATCTGTGTGGTAAATGATTAAATTGGAGATGGGAATAGAAACCATGGGATCATTCACTTCCTCACAAGTAGGGTAAGTTTCCTCTGTCGCATGAGTCGATGCAGTAGCAGTAGCAGCAGCAGTAGAAATGTGAGTGGAGTAGTTGAAGTGGGGAAGAGGAATCATGCATGTAACAGAGGAAACATATTAAGTGCTCTCACATGGCTTCTTCTCCATTTCTGCTGTTTGCATTCATAATGATCCTTCTAATTTCTTCTTTTATGATGCTAAAATGATGTAATAATAAATTATTTTTTCATTTATCCATTTATTTTAATTGATTTTTCAGAGGAAATTAAGAGAGTAGAAAAGAGAGGTTAAGGCGCAAATTTCCCCACCATCAAATCATCGCCGTCCATTTCCTCTATCCTCCTCGCCAGCGCATGATGCGCTGAGATGGGTGGTCTACCCCCTCCCCAAAGTAAAACCTAGCCGATCCGACGGTCCATATTTTGATGTCTCTTTCCGTCGACCGTTCGATCATCGCCTCCACTTGGATCTCGTGGGGTGGGGCCCTTCTCTCGCCGAAAGCGACGCCACGATAAGTATCGGCCGTAAGGGTGGGCGAAAGGAAGAAGCTTCCCTTCTTCTGTCTTAGGGTTAGGGTTCCTCCGTGGTGGCTGAGGTCGGATCCTCCGCTCCGATGGCGCAGCCGAGCGGCCGATCGAGGGGGACGGTGAAGTGGTTCAACGACACCAAGGGGTTCGGCTTCATCTCGCCGGACGACGGCGGGGAGGATCTCTTCGTCCACCAGTCTTCCATCAAGGCCGAGGGCTACCGCACCCTCGCCGAGGGCGAGGTCGTCGAGTTCATGGTGGCCGAGGGCGACGACGGCCGCACCAAGGCAGTCGATGTCACCGGGCCCGACGGATCCAACGTCCAGGGTGGCGGCGGCGGCGGCGGTGGCGGTGGAGGCCGGAGGGACGGGTACGGTGGTGGCCGCGGCGGCGGCATGCGCGGCGGGGTTTACGGTGGAGGATACGGGTTTAACGGTGGAGGTAGGGGAGGTGGTGGGAGGGGAAGGGCCAGCGGAGGGTTTGGTGGCGGTGGGGCTTGCTATACTTGCGGTGAGACCGGGCATCTTGCTAAGGACTGTTACCAGGGTGGCGGTGGCGGCGGTGGCGGCGGCGGTGGCGGTGGCGGTGCTTGCTATAACTGTGGTGAGATGGGTCATCTCGCCAGGGATTGCTACCAGGGAGGCGGCGGCGGCGGCGGCGGAGGCGGAGTCGGAGGTGGAGGCGGAAGGTACGGCGGGGGAGGCGGTGGTAGTGACCGCTCCTGTTACAACTGTGGCGAGATGGGCCACTTCGCTAGGGAATGCCCTGGCAAGAATTGAGGGTGAATCACTTGCAAGCTGCGCTTCTCTTTTCTCCTTTTTGGCCACCTAATGTGATAGTTAGCTTTTGTGCTGGGTTTATGTTTTGCATCTTTTTGTTCTCTCTGGAATGGATATGGATATGTTTCGTTATATTTGGTCTCTGGTTTGATTTTGATGGGTTGTGGCTTATTTTGGGTTCCTGAAACAAAAAGTATGGACAGTGAATACACTGTTTGTAGTTCTTTCAGCTTCTTAATTTTCAGATATATACATTGTGTTTTTGCATTATTGCATTACCACATTTTTTATTATCGCTTTCTTATTGCATGCTGTCTTTTAATCTTTGTTGTGTTGGTATCATTATCAGTTTACAATATGTATTTGAATTATGTGTTAACAGTTTACATTATGTATTAAATTTGTCTAATTAAGTGTGATCAGTTTACATTATGTCATTGAGTTGTGAGTTCTTCTGTGTGTCCTCATGATATGTGATGACTGTTGTAGGCTCATTCAGTGGTAGGATAAACAGGATATGCTTGAAATACTGCCTTGTGCTTTACGACTGTTCTTGTTGTTGAGATCCTTCATGGACAATGTTGTTTGAGAAACTTTGTTTGTTTGTTATGAAACTGGATTTGTGTTGGTTCTTGTATATTAGAGTGGTTTGAGCTTGGTCGTGGTTCATTTGGCATACATATAATGAGGATCTTTGGTAGTTGTAATTTTTGTAATTTATATTCAGATGTTTTTCTTTGGGAATTAATGGAATACACCACCGTCAAACCGCACTGATAGGGTGGTTTGAGCTTGGTCGCGGTGCATTTGGCATAAGTATAATGGGGCTCTTTGGTAGTTGTAGCTTTTGTAATATAGAATCAGATGTGATTGGGTAGGGAAGTGAGCACGTGCAAGCCCATGCCTGCGCAGTTATGGACGATGACCTGTAGGCATTTTGTGTGTATAAATTTTGGACCCGTTATGTTTGTGTTTTTATTTAGTTAGATGGTATAAGTATGTACCAGTGTCAAAAACATTATGTACAGATGAAACCCTGATATTATATTTAGTAATTAGCATGTTTTAATTTTATGATTGTTTACTTTTCTTTGCAGTCCTATTGATAACAGTTAAGAAAAATAAAATTGTGGCATCCTACTATAGTCATGCATATAGGGTA